CAGAGAGAAGCCCAGCAAAATCAACCCATTATGGACAAAACACAGCATCAAGTACGTCTGGGCCCAGCAAGGCCAACTACAGCAGCTACCAAGAAATAATCGCCAACTCCCTCCTAAACCTGGGCCAGATAGCAGAGGAAACCCTCGCCATCGAGGGGCAGCTGCCCGAAGCAGAGCTGCAGGTCTCCAAGCCACCATCTGACGTTGTGCATTTGGTCCATGAGGATGCGGGAGAGGAGCTGGTGGAAGAGGAGTGCGACAAGGAGATCATCATCCAGACAGAGGATGCGGAGGAGGTCATCGAGGTCACCAGCGAGCGCAGCAGCGAGTTGTGTCCAGAGCACCGGGATGATGCCACCTGCGAGGAGTCCTGTAAACTGGAGAAGGCTGAGGCAGAAGAAGAGGATGAGGAGGAGGAGGAAGAGGATGATGAGGAGGAGGAAGAGGAGGAGGAGGATGATGATGATGAGGAAGAAGAGGAAGAAGATGAGGATGAAGAGGAGGAGGAGATGGCTCCTGAAGTGATCTGCGAAGAAGCTCCTCACACTTCTCAGGACACCCAGAAAAGCCACTGTGAAGGGCAGTTCAGCCCGAAGCCCGAGTACTCGGTCATCGTGGAGGTCCGGTCGGACGATGACAAGGACGACGACGCGCGGTCCCAGAAATCAGCCGTGACCGACGAGTCAGAGATGTACGACATGATGACGAGGGGGAACCTGGGGCTGCTGGAACAAGCCATCGCGCTGAAAGCCGAGCAGGTGAAAATCGTGCGGGAGCCCAGCCGGCTGCCAGGAGAACACGTAAAGCACTTCCAGGTGGATGACAAACAGAGCAAACCGCTGGACAGCATCCGAAAGAGCTACTACGGCAAAGGTACAGGGGCAAGCCTCTCCTTCCTTTCCCAATAAAAGAGGTGAACTTGTCTGCTCAGCACCCTTGTGCTAATCAGGCTGATAGTGGGGGAGCTCACAGCCCACTGGGAGAATTTAGCCACAAATCCTCAATGCCCAGAGGGATGGGGACATCCTAGAGGTCAACAGTGAATGCACAAAACGATGATGTGCCCTACGCCATCCTTCCTCTCAGCAGAGGAATTGCTTGGCTAAATTGTCCATTGGCCTTGAAAATCTGAGTCTGAGCTGTAGGGCTGGTTTAAAACACAAGGGGGTTTTAAAGTAGAGATAGGAGTCTGGCCACAGGAACATGAGGGGCAGGGGCTTTGGCATCCTCTGGCACTGAGCTGGCTGCCTGTTCAGGCACTGTGAGTTGCTCCATGCTCCAAACTGGGTTTCTTCCTCAAATTACTTCACTGATTCCAATTTTTTCAACTTCCTGTGTTACAATTCCACCTCCAGGAAAAAAACTTCCAAATCCAAAGTCTCTCTCTGTTTGACTGCAAAAGTGGTAGGGGATGCACCCTCAGCAATTTTTTGTCTCCTTTCCACCTCTTCCCCTCCAAATCCACTAACCTGCTCCCCACCGCCCTTTCCCTACAATCCTCAGATCCTTCGAGACCCGAGAAGCGAGAAATCAAATGTCCAACTCCTGGCTGTGACGGGACTGGCCACGTCACGGGGCTTTACCCTCACCACCGCAGCCTCTCCGGCTGCCCGCACAAAGACAGGATCCCCCCCGAGAGTGAGTACATGGTGGGATAACAAGGGCTGCTTAAATTACTCTGAGGCCTTATTTCCTAGGGGGAATTTCACATCTGATGGGTAGCTCTGCCTCAAAGCTCTCCAGATAATCCCAAACGATGTGAGTTTTATGGCTGAGTCTCTAGGACAAGCCTGATGTTGTTCCTTGGAGTATAACGGAGTTTTTGGCGTGGGATGGTGCTTTTCCAGGTTGATCCTGGATGCTGCTATCCACCAAAGTGTTATTGCTACTCACAGGAAACGTGATGGAGATTTGCTTGGAAGTCCTGCCCTTCTTAAAGATTTTTAGCACCATCCTGTGGAGAATGAGGTCCCTTCTCTGAAAATCAAAGGGGGGCTTTAAAAATGCCTGCCCACCTCCAGGAGTGTGTTAAGCAGTGCCCATCTTTACACTGAAAGTCACATGTTATCCCCTATATGGGATATCTTGTTGGGAAGAAGGGGATATTATTCTTCCTTGCCGTCCAAACATGTGGACATGCAGTAAAGGAGAGGAGTCATTCAGGATGTACAGGATAGCTGAGTCTTCTTCTATGCTCTTATCACTGTAAAATTCACAAGGTGATATATCAAGATTCACCTGTTCTACAGAAAATATTTATCATCATCATAGCAGATTTTTGTATGTGCATAGAGAGATATTTTATTTCTGCCTCTCTACCAGCATCCTAAATAACTTTCCCTGCATAGATACATAAAAATCAAGGTTGCATGTTTATGATAATAGCATAATAGACCACAAAAAAAAAAAAAAAGGAGCCCTTCCTTATCAGTAATTTCAAAGGTTGCAGACCTGCCATAAACACAGAACTACAGGAAACAAGGAGAAAGTACAGCTATCTTCACAGGCTGGAATGCAAGAAAAAATATTAATAAATAACTAACACAAGCTATGTGTTTTGCAAAAGCTTGCAGATCAAATTATTTTCTTTACTTCTAAGGTCAGCGCTGCAGGAAGCAATAATCCTGAAGATTAAAATTTAAAAAAAAAAAAATCAAACAAAGACCAGTCCTAAGGATAAAAGCAGAGATACAACTTCAATCACTTAAAACTACCTGAAATTGGGAGAACTGGTTCCAAAACACGGGTGGGCAGGAGGGGCTAGATGGGGGAAACTGGATTGCAATCAGCAAATGAGGAGAAAGCCCAGGCTGTGTGTAGAGATGCTAATCTAGTGCTGACCTGAGCACTGCTGCCTTGAAAATCTTTTTTTTTTCTCCACAAACTCTAATTACAGCATTTCACGTTCCCTGATTTCTAGGAAACCAGCGTACAAGACTTGATGGTTTTGTCTTTTTTTTTCCTTCTCTCTGATTTTTATTAAGTTGTTTTTGTTTCCCTTCCCCTCTCCCCTTCCCCTTCTTGCTCTGAAGTCCTGGCGATGCACGAGAACGTGTTGAAATGCCCCACCCCAGGCTGCACAGGACAGGGTCACGTCAACAGCAACCGCAACACGCACAGGAGGTACCGGCTTTGGCTTCTTCTTAAAAGGGCACAGTGACAGGACAAGAGGGAATGGCTTCCCCCTGCCAGAGCACAGGGTTAGATTGGATATTAGGAAGAAATTCTTCCCTGAGAGGGTGG